GACGTCCAGCAGCTCCTGCACGCACTTGTCCACCAGCGCACACGCCCGCTTGGTGGCCTCCAGGTCCCCCGTGTGGCCCACCATGTCCGGGTTGGCGAAGTTCACGCGCACCATCTGGTAGCGCTTCGAGTACATGGCCTCCTTGCCTGCCTCGCAGATCTCCCGCGCCTTCATGTCCGGCGCCTGGTTGAAGGGCACGTTGTCCGAAGGGATCTCCACATAGGTCTCCAGCTCCTCGTCAAAGTACCCCGATCGGTTGCCGTTCCAGAAGAACGTAACATGGCCGAATTTCTGTGTCTCCGAGCAGGCAAACGTGTTGACTCTGTTCTTCACCAGGTACTGGCCGGACACCTTGTTGATCAGAGGCGGCGGCACCAGGTAGTTAGTGGGCAGCTTGAGGTCCCCGTCGTACTGCATCATGCCCACGAAGCGCAGCCCGCTGGGGAACCGCTCCCGGTCGAAAGCCGCGAACTCCTCGTACTCGAACGCCTTGCTGATCTCCACCATCCTGTCCGCCCTGAAGTTGAACAGCACCACGGCGTCCCCATCCTCCACCGTGCCCACCGGGGCCCCCTCCTCGTCCACGATCACGAACGGCTCCAGCCACTGGTCGGACTTCGCGGCATCCCCCTCCCCCCTCAGCGTCTTGACCGCCTCCACGGCGTCCTTGAACGTGTGCGGCGCCTTGCCCAGCACGTGCGCGTCCCAGCCGCGCTTCACGATGTTCCAGTCCGCCTCGTAGCGGTCCATCGTCACGAACATCCTCCCGCCGCCCGAGGCAATCTTTCCGTCCACGCCGAAGTCGCGCGCCAGCCCCGCCAGCTCCTGCTCCAGCTGCTGAACAAACTGCACCGACGTCCCGTCCGGCACGTCCCGCCCGTCGGTCAAAATGTGCATCCTGATCTTCTTTGCCCCTCGCTCCGCTGCGCCGCGCAGCAGTTTGTAGACCTGATCGGCCCGCGAGTGCACCCCACCGTCGGACAGCAGCCCGATCAGATGCACCGTGTTCCCCTCAAACGCCTGCGCCACCAGGCGCCAGCCCTCGCTCTCGAACATCGACCCCGTCTCCAGCGCGATGTCCACCAGCCGCGCGCCCTGGTCCACCACCTGGCCCGATCCCAGGGCGTTGTGCCCCACCTCGCTGTTCCCCATGTCCGCGTCCGTGGGCAGCCCCACCGCCACGCCGTGCGCCTGCACCGTGCGGTAACGATCAGGCGCCTTCTCCGCAAGGGCGTCCATGCACGGCGTGCTCGCGCTGTGCACGGCATTGAATCCATCCTTGTTCTTGTTCTCCCCCCAGCCGTCCAGGATGCAGACCAAGACAGGTCCGGGTGATGGCGGGATTGTCTCGTGCGGAGAAAGGGCCATGTCGGCTGGCGTTTCGCTGCTGGAGGCCATCTTGGGAGGGGGATCCGCGGGAAGGGGCGGGGGGGAGGGGGCCGGAGGGGGCGGTGGCGCCGGGGGCGCCGGGGGGTCCGGCGGCGGGGGCTCGGCAGCGCTGGGCTGCAAGGGTGACGAACTGCAGCCGCCCATCGCGAGAGACGTCTTGTGGGCGCGTCGGGCGGGGGGCGTTGCGCGGGTAGGCGGCTTCCAATCACATAATCGGGCCCGGGGAGGGGGGTGGGTCGCATGAAAATTGTTCGCGGGCTGCGCGGAAAGGGTCTGTGTAACGGCTGTAATGCTTTCGGTAACGAGATGGGCCAGGCCAACGCCGCGATCAACCCGCACACGGACCATTTTTTGGGGTGCACTGAGGCATGCCGGGGCTTGGGGCGAAGGTGGCGTCACAAGAAACAATGAACCGATCAAGGAAGCGACACACCAGGAAAGGGGAAACACGGACAGCCAAGTACAAGGGTGGCTTGACTAATTTTGTTCGAGAAAAATAGGCTGCGTCAACTTTCTGGGCCGTGGGAGCCATCCGTACAAAACAAGTTTTATGGGTGTCACCCCGCTGAGGTGCTAATCCTGGCACCAGAGGAACCGTGAGTCAAAGCTGTATCCTCTTTGCTGGTATGGGTTATGGGATCCACCGCAGGGTATTGCTATGTCGACTTCGTCATTCAGTGTCAATTTGCCGCCGGAGGGAGAGGGGCTGCGGCGCAGAGGCTCAGCAATATCTGGCAGTTTCAACGACCTCTCTCTGGCGTTCAATCTCCAAGTAAGGGTAAGGGCAAGCGTGTCACTGTCATGTAGAGTCAGTCTGGGTTCCCTCACTGTACTGCCAACATGAGGATGGCACGTTCAAAGCACTCAAATTGTAGGAACTACAGACCAACAGTGTCCGACTTGCCAGTTTTGACACCAGCCTGCAACAGGTCAGCCAGGTGCCAAACCATGAAGGCCTGTTGGGCAGCCTGAAGGGATCTTCCCATCTCTATCAATATGTTTCACGTGGTGAGTCCTGTTTAACCTTCATATCACCTTGCATCGTATTTTGGACTGACAACAAACATTTTTTTGACAGGACAGGGCGTGCCCTGAAATCTTAAATTGAGGTGGGCTTGGTATACCCAGTGGTTTGGTGCACGTTTTGGCGCATACTTTGGAAAGGAAAGGGACCCAGAACTCGTAAACATGTTGTGGCAGCATTGACACTCATAGCTCCCACTGACAGTGGTGACGAAGAACGCTCCATAATATGCTTAAGAGCAGAAAAGTGCTGGAACAGATCCAAATAAATTTGTCAGCAATTTGCAAGAATGCCCTTTGCACAATCCCATTCAAATCAACCTTCTCACTCCTATACTCCAGCCATACTCTATGACAAAATTCAAGCAATGGTAATACCCCAACACCCTAATAATACGCTTGGGTGGAGCAGATTCCTTGCACAATAGCCACCCAATCTATGATGTGTAGAGTGTAAAGAAAATGTGCATGTCAGTGACGTCGTGCCAAAAGAAATGGCAGCAATGATTCAAAACTGTCCACCCATGCAAAATGTGCACCCAGTCCACTCACCCTGTTGCATCTATTGGTTAGAAATGTGAATCAGGACATCAACTGAAGAGGCGGACAGCGATGTCTGGGCTGTCCATCTCCATCTCTTGAATGGTGGCCTGCAGCACAGACGGCAGTCTCTTTGGGCTGTCCAGCTAACAACAGTAACAAAACCACATTGGGGGCTTTCACATATGTACCTTTGCAGGGTGAAGCATATGTGGATGTGACCGGCAACGGGCAATGCTGTCAAGCACAAGCGCAGCATATTTTGATGAATACAGTCAATGCGCATTGATGCCTGCAGTAAAGGCAGCAGGCTCTCAGGGTTCGCCATGGAGTGCAGAAGGCAGCATATGTACAGGCAGAGATGCTTCTGGCACACCAGGTTGCCACAAGTTTGAACATGAACCCTGCCTGTCCAGGTCTTCAACACGGCGCCAGCAGCAGTGTGCAGAAGGGTTGCAAGACTTCATTTTAATAGGTGCCTCTTACAGTGGTTTTGGACATCATGTATGAGCTGGCAACCACAGACTGGGTCCATTGCACCACTGCACAGTTGACTCGGCCATGTTTGACTACTTTTGACAAAAAATATCTTGAAGCTCAACGCAAGCACACACTGAGGGCAGGCACAACGCATGGAGCACAGTAGGGCCAGCTTCGAGAATACATTTACCGGTTGTCTCTAAAGGTACATGAAAATCCAGCGCCTATTCGTCTTGCAGAGATCACACTGCAGTGGGAATGCCAACATTATCTCAGGGTGGAAATTTCTTATTGCAGATCGATAACTTGGCTGTCTCAATGGCAAGATGGCTTCACATAGGGAAATGCTAATAGACCGTGTACAGCATTTAGTCTTGGAGTGTCGACCATATCCAGGGCAACATGCAATCTCCACACAAGGTGAACAAAAATGGGAACATGGCCAAGAAAGAGCGTGAGACATCGTCCTCATGAAAACCCACCCCCTTGACTGCAGTAATAGTTTTTCAGAAATCTTTCAGTACATTGGCCTTCACAGATCAAAACACTGTCCTTCAACCTTCAAGGCAGGGTCAAGCATTTGACTGCAGCCCAGTGACATCTGGTGGCATGTTGCGAACAATTCCTGTGGGACACACCTCACTCTTCACTCCCCACCCCATGTGCATAGAGCTACATGGGAAGATAAGAACAGCAGGTGACAATGGCCAAGGATTACCATCCTTGACGTGGCAAGCCACAATGAAGCGTCACTAGTCCTATTGCTTTGTCTAAAAGTGACAGACACCAGCCCTTGCAACTGCCAAGTGGATGATAAGCACAAATCCAACAACATTGGTTTTCTTCAAAATGCTTGTGTGCGAAGCAACGTGCAGAACAGAATGCCCACCTCATCAATTGTTTCGCTCTCGTGTGATGCCACTGTTGTCTGATCGTCAGTGACAGCACTGTTTGGGTTTTCATTCCATTCATTTGAGCATCCAAAAGCAGGCAGTTTCACTGCAGGGGCCTCTCCATCCTCAGCTCTGCAGAACATCACTTGTACAATGAAGGCAACATTCCATCAAGGCTGCGAAAATTGGATTACTGAGCACAAGGAACAATACAAGAATGTTGATAAACTATTCCAGCTGCCTGTACCTATGCGACAGCTAACAACAGTGAGAAGCAGTTGGTGCCAGGCAGCTGGAATTCTCGAAATTCAAGTGGTCAGCAGACCCACTTCCAGTGCAGTATGCACTACTCCCTTGCATCTACTTAGGATTTGGCATTATCAGTTTCCCAAATTTTGGAAGTCAGACATTGAGAACTGTCTCTGAAGTAAACTGCGGTGATGGTCCTTAAAAATCCACGAAGAGCTACATTGCATCAAATTTGCAACGCACACTTGGCTCTCCAGTCCTTCAAACAGAACGGCATGATGTGTAGATGGGTTTGGGCCCTCATTGTCAGGCCCCAAATGACAAGCATCCAAGCAACAGATCAATACCTTTGTTTTGCACCATTGGCACGATCGAGTCTTCTCCTGTACGGTGCCCCTGGAGTCCGCTTCGCAGTGCAGAAAAGCTGCACCAAACCTGTTAGGGGCGTCTGAGGTGTGGAAACTCCCAATGGATCTGGCGTCGCCATGGATGGCTCATCCAGAGCAGATGCTGGAAAAGCACAAGAAGAAAGCAATTTGAGAACCGCAGTCAGCTTGAGTGAATTCCCACAGGCTTAGGATGCACAGCAAATAGTTTTAGCTGGTAGGAATGATAGGATTTGCTGCATCACGTGGAACGCCCCATGCAAGTCCCATGACGTGCTTGGCCAGTGGTCCATTTGTAGGCGGCAGTGTTTCATGCCTGTACTGCTGCTGCACTGGTGCTACTGTGCCAATGCAGCATTGAAATGGACTGCCAGTGCTGCCTTCATGATCTTTGAACCAAAGACACGCATACCCAATTCGAGCCAACAGATTCCATCCAAAACCGAATCGTCTTTTATGCACACATCAAGCCAGTTATCATATTGTCATAGTAAGTGGTCACAAATGTGAGTCCTCACCATAAGAACTGGAGGTTGGGGCCACTTCCAAGTTTGGTGGCGTTGGCACAGCTGACGCGAAGGACATTGGCGTGAGGACGCCTTTAAATGCAACTGGAGTTAGCAGAGCGCTTCCCTGTCAATGGCAATCGCGTTAGTTCAGTAGTACATATGGCACCAACAACTTTGGGTCATCAGTAAAAGATTTCTTCGAGTCATTTCGTAGGATATGGACCTTCCCGGCAAGCACAGCTGGCCACAAGTTGTCACCCTCACAACGGCATTCTTTGCTTGTTAACACACCTCTGGACTCTGGTAAAGGCTTCGAGCCCCTGCTGAGGCTAACAGCAGCCCCCAAAAACTTTGTGCCAGAACATCATTGCACTCCTGGCAGATCTTAGAGATGGTTTGCAGCCGCCGTTGCCACATCCATGAAGTGCATGATTTGTGACCAGACAAGCCACTTTATTCCACAGCGATCTCGTTGACTACAGTTCTGCTGTTGTAAACACCACCATCTGCCTCACCTTGACTGCCGAATTCAGGCCGATTCCTCCCAGCTTCCCCAGGATTGACCGGGAGATCGAAAATCTGGGTCGATCTGCCTCAAACCAAGCATTGCGTCAAACTCGACCAGTTGCTCCTGTGCAGCATGTCGCTCTGGCACTCGTCCCACACCGGATATCCCATGCCTTGGCAATGCCAGTGCCTTTTACAGACACGTCGCGATGGATCCCACAAGCAGCCACGTTTACCAAACACCCAACCACGCGATCTGCCTTGCCACACGCCTTCAACCGCGAAACGAAATGCTCAGAATCCGCGCACCATCCTGGTCGGCCGAGGCGCCTGCCCAACTCGCATCTGCGCCTCCGGATCTGCGCCTCTTCGGCGCGGGGTCGTCTTGCAGGCCGTCGGCCGCACGGTCCCCCACGCTGGCGGCCGGTTTTCTCTTCCTGCGCGTCGGGAGAATGGGTCCGAAGCCCATCGGGCGGCACAGACCGCTGGCGACGCCTCCAGTCGAGGAGATCTGCGCAGAGAGCAAAGGCGTCGCGGCGGAGGCGGGTCGCCCCGCGTCGGTGTGTCTGCCCCTGGGTTGCGCAGAGGTTGGCGCAGTGGGTGCCCAGCTCACCGGCCACGGTGCCGTTGGGACAGATTGGACGATGGCGGGAGATACTGGACGCGGCTGTACTGGACTGGTAAGCAAGGCGCAAAAATTTGACATGTTTCAACATTAGGCACTACAGAATAGGTGGCATAGAAAGTACAGAATGTACAGAAAGAAAAAGGAGAAAGGAGCAGAATGTACTGAGATCCTACAGGGACGTGGTCTGATTGGTGTTTCTGGCAGACTGGAATCCAACAACACCAGGCAAAACGCGGGCGGCCGTTGCGTGGTACGAGAGAGTGCAATGCCTGAGTGGGGATAGGGTTTTGGAGCGAAGCGTGCACAAGAAGGCATGGTGCGCGAGTCGCCAAGCCCATCCACAGGCGCATCGTCATTGGGAATGCCCTCGCCAGTGCTGGCCAGGGTGCGCGAACGGAGCCCCAGGGGTAGCGGGGCGGCCCCAGGCCGATGGGATGTGAAGTTGTCGCACGCAGATGTCTACGGGCGGATTTGTTGTTTGGCCCCGGGGGTGCCAAGTCGCTACTGAAGCAGCTGTCCAAACCGTGGGCAAGGCGGAGCCCCCAAGGTGGAGACTGCGCACTAGAGGTGGCCACTCAAAGATGCCATCCGGTCCGTTAAGTCCGGTTCGTTAATTTTTATCAGCTGTCCGTTAAATTTCGTTAAAGAAAAAGGGAGAAAAATTCAGAAAAAACGAAAAAAATCCAAAAAAATCGAAAAAAAACCCAAAAAATCATAGCAACTGCGGCTAGTTGAAAATCTAGTATGCATAGGTTGAAATAAAATACAAACATACTCTCTAATAGCAAATTCCATAAACTATAAGTATGACTAAAACCCAGAAATCCTCAAAAAATCCAAAAATCCGTTAATTTTTGGTTAATTTTTGTCTTTTTTCGTTGTTTTCCATTAATTAACGGAAAATTAACGGAAATTAACCTCTGTCCGCTATTAACGGATCCGGGTGGCCACCTCTACTGCGCACCACATATGCTGTACAGCCGTCGGGTGGGATATCTGCGTAGGTGAACCGCGAGAGCACCGGCGTCTGCTTTGCGCTAGGGGTGTTCAGCAGCGTGGCGGCGTGGTGTGGGGCACACGGCATGAGCATGAGCCTATCTATACTGGTGTTACCGTTTTTTGCATGCCAAGGCGTCGATCGACTGGGCTGAACGCAACAAGCAACAGGTGTGGCGTCAACATTGTCTCTGCCGATTTGAGATCCTGCAATAAATACATCGTCGACGCTAATGCAGCATGTGAGTGGGTGTGACTGGGTACCAACCGGTTGCTGTCAAACCCATCGCCACTCAACAAGCCATTTGTCTCTTTGAAAGCTCAATGTGTTGTATAGTCGTGATGATCAGCCACAACTGCGCTCCTGGGCACTTGCGTTACCTGCATCTTTTGACCAACCCAACTCTCATGAATTCAGTTTCATGTAGGCTGTTGTGCTGGAACCTCAAGCAGGCGAGGCAGGGCCTGCAGAGCGCAATTAACAAATTTGGTTGTTCCTAAATCGTGTGTGGTGTGATGTGATGTGTGGGAAAGCTGCTTGCCTCCCGTTACTGGAGAAAACTTGAACAAAATAAGAACTGCAGACCAATTCTATTACATTAAGATAGCAGGTTGAAAAAGCTATGGCCAAATAGCAGAAGCCTGTAGCCACAAACCAAAAGAACTGAGGAAGCGGGAGGCCTAGAGAAGCAAGCCTGCATGTTCACCTTCTCCATGACAACTGAAACATAATGCCAATATTCCAAAATGGTGGTTTGTCAGCACGAAGGTTCATGGTTGCCTATTTCAGGTAACTAGGGAAGCTTAGAGTGCAAACGATGCTGCACAGGTTTCCACCGTTGTTTTCACTGACATTGTTCCGACAATATGCACCTTTGCTGTGTCCAAAGGCAGACAAACATAGTTTATCATGTTCTATGGATCCACATGAAAACATGAAACCTATCACCACAATTGTCCACTACTTGTATTGCTTCTGTAGACATTATTTGTGACGGAATTATATGGGGAGACCATTTTCCCCTTTGATTTTTCCCCCTATTCCCTAAGGCCTCTTATTGGGAACGTTATAGTCCTAATTTATGTTAATTGATAACCTAATTAAGGGCTCTAGTTGATGGGATTAGAGCCCTGAGAGGATGCTCCTTTATTTGGGTGATTTCTGGCCAGCTGCAATACTTTATGGCAGCTTGGGGAACGGCTGTACTGAGCACGGGTGATTCGGACTGTTTTTGGACTTTCGGCGGGTGACCCAGGATGCGGTGCACCCTGATGTACAAAGTGATGTAGTCGTGACATCAGTAATCCAATCTTGCATTTTGATTCTGGCATTGACCCCTCGGTTCACGCGGATCAGACCACACTCGCGCGACCGACCTTGCAGCACTGATACGCCGTATGGGTATTAAACCCCATTAAGGCATTATATATTATATTGAATTCCATTATTGGAACTCTAGTTTACTAGTAACCATCCCTTGTCACTTGTCTAGGGTGACTGGCTTCCCTAGATTATGTATGTAGTCTCAAGCCACGTAAAGTACTAGAATATGTAAATAATATACCATCTTGTAATGGGTGGTCCGGCGTGAATCATGGTGACTTACGTGCCATGGCGAGGTGGGTCCATGGCCTTAGCGGGAAGGCGCCCACCGTAGCATGAGTCATGTATCATTTGGTTTCAGAGCAAATAAAGTATATGGGATACTTAGTCTCCAGAGCAGGCGTTCCGCCAAACCCAGATAAAATAGCAAAAGTGAAAGATTGGCCAGAACCAACAAATGTCCATGAGACTCGGCAATTTCTGGGTCTCTCCAATTACTTCAAAAAGTTTATTTAGGGTTACTCCAAACTCGCCCAACCATTAATTGACCTTACAAAGAAAAGTAAACCATGGTTATGGACCGAGCAATGTCAAGCAGCATTTGATGGATTAAAGAAGTGTTTGACCAGTGCTCCACTCCTCCGTATGCCAGACCCTGCAAAAGAATACGAGGTGGTTGCTGATGCCTCTGACATGGTATTAGGGGCTATCCTATTACAAGAAGGACACCCCATTGCATATGCTAGTAAGAAGATGGTACCCGCCGAACTTAACTACTCACCTACAAAAAAAGAGTTGTTGGTATTTAGTATTTGCCGTACAACTCTGGCAGTGTTATTTGGAAGGTAGCAGGTTCCGCCTTGTGATGGACCACTGCCCTAACACTTACTTTAAAGCACAACCCACGTTGTCATGAAAGCAGGCTCACTGGTCTGAAACCTTTCAGCAGTTCAAATTCGAATGGGAGTACCGTAGAGGTGGCCACACTCGGGTACCGTCCGCTCCGTTGCGTCCGGTTCGTAAAAGTGAGTGTGATATTCGTCCGGTAACATCCGGTCCGCTGTTTGCCGTACTGCCGTCCGCAGAATCCGGCTCTCACTTTTTCTTCACCGTTATTTGCTGGTAAATTAACGGAGGGCGTGCGCGGCGTCCGGTCCGCGACAAAACATCCGTGGATTCATAATTTTGGTCCGTTCTGTCCAGTAGGTACTTGCTTTCCAGCCACGGCAAGGTCAAGGCGAAGTTGCCAGGGGTTTCCATTTTGCAGCAGCTCGAATTGTGTTGGTTGCACGCTTCATAAACGTGTGTGGGCGTTTTCCAGGTCATGTATTCTGCGGTTTGTAATACATGGAGTGTTTGGAGAACTGAACAACACACAAGCCGTGTGTAAAGTTCCAGTGTATGGCATGCCAACCTGCACCACTTGCTGCGGCTGGTACTGCTGCATAGTACGCAGTGCGCACCACACTCCCATTGCAAGTCTTCCCGGCCATTGCAACAAGGGTTCGGCATAGTTGCAATACCAAACGCGGACACACAAACACCCACATCACTTGAGGCAGGCGGCAAAGAGGGTTCACCTCTGAACACAGTTGAGCCACTCAACATACTTGGGGATGGGTGATACGTATCACATATAACGATGGGTTGCTGCGGCGGTACTCCACAGTTTCCACGCCAGGGCAGCGAGTGTAAAGCCCATCCAACATAGTACGTCGAAGTTCAACAGCGCAACACATGAAAACGGGCAATGAATAATACGAGTCGTTATTTGTTATCGTCCATCTCTACCTATTGCACCCTCACTGCGGCGGTACTCTAGAAGTTTCCACGCCAGGGCAGCGACTGTAAAGTCTATCCACCAATCGCAGTACTTGCTGGGACGCATTTCTTGAATAAAATTTTCTTCTATCTATATGATACCCAAGGTTCATCCACCACTCAACATAGTGTGTTCAAGGTGTGCACATCAACACAGGACAACGAAATATTACAAGTCATGATATCTTATCTTCTATCTCTATGGTAACCGCACCCTTGCTGCGGCGGTACTCCACAGTTTCCACGCCGGGGCAACGAGGGTGGTCACCGGTGGTGATCCAAACTTTGGAATCCAAAGTCACTACTTCCCTCCCTTCCCCCCCTTCGTGCGTCGATGCGCTAGCTTCTGCTGCGACCATCCACTCTCTGCCATCTGCCACCCTAGCAAGCTTAAATGATCCACGTTCTCGGGCTTGAGAACCATGCGCTTGGCCCGAACTATTAGACCGGCCTTGGAAAAAGATCGTTCACTACTGGCGCTGGAGGCCTGCAACACAACCAAAAATACTCAGTACTTCTCGGCCTGTGAACTTCATAAGGGCACTGTGGCATGTATGCACAGCCAGTTGTACTCAACCACTCACCTGTGTTGCTAGTATTCGACGTGCAAGCCTGGCCACCAAGGGGAAGCTGGTATGATTCTCTCGCCACCAATCCCCTGCACTCCATTTCTTTTGATACTCACATGCTGGTGTCAATT